GTTTCAAAGGCTGCAGTTTCACTATTTTTTAATAAACTGCTTCATTTTACACAACTACTCTCCAAAACTACATAACTTGAGAGTTCAACTTGCAACTTTATGTTCTCTCTGTTTTTTTCTCACCAAAAAGCTTCATCTGGCCTGTTTGGTTGTGGTCTTACTGTGATTAATCATTTGTGCTCTCTTTTATCCTTTATGAAATATAAATCAACTCAAAGCTCATCTGCTTAGCTGCTTCTTCTTATACAGACCCCACTGTGCAGCGTATTTACTGTTAACTTTTGCGTCTGTTCATTTTGTGTGTCTGATTCTGTCTCCTTTAACCTGCAGTTGGCCTTGGCAGAGGGCAGTTGACACTGAGTTTAGTTCTGCTGGAGGTTCCTTCCTATTAAAAGGAGTCTCACTGCATGCGTTTGAGGGATTAGAACCCTAGTAAACTAGCCCCACCTGCCAGCGGCCAAAATCATTTTTGCCTGCGAGTGGGTATAGCCTCGATTGCCCCAGGCCGTAGAACTGGCAGGCCAATCACAATGCAGAGATGTGTTTTGAATTTTTGGATGCAAAGCGGGTGGTGTTTTGAGGGCGTGACGACAAAGCTGCGTGACGCTGGAGAAAGCACAACAAGGAAGATGGCAACAACTATTAAACAGTTCTCGCTTCACTCAGCATTGGAATAAGTTTTGGAAGGATTAGACTTGGGGTTTTCGTTGAAACATGACCAGGGAGAGGCTCTACGCTCATTCATTTTTAAGAAGGATGTATTCGCCGATTTACCGACAGCCTGTTTGTTTACACTCCGCCACCAGCTGTCTTTTGCGCTTACCATGTCACAGTCAGTTGCGCTAATTGGTCAGAGTGTTGGCCAATAGGCACAGACATGGTTTGAAAAACAACGGGTTGTTCTCATCAACAATCTTCCGATGTCTCATTCTTCGGGGCCAGACTAAATTACACATTTAATCTCACATTTAGTCCGGTTTATCAGGCTAGGATTAAAGCTGATTTAAATGTCTACTGTCCCTACATGCTCATTCAGGAGGAGCAAATCGTGCTAAGTAAATTGTTTAAAGTTATCAACTGGGTCAACTAGGCTATAGTTCAATGATCGACTTTGTTGTTGTTTCATTTGAACCTGTGGCCGCATGTCTTGGACAATCGGGTGAAGAGAGGGGCAGAGCTCTCTATCGACCACTACCTGGTGGTAAGTTGGCTGCGATGGTAGGGAAAGATGTCAGTCAGATGTGGTAGGCCCAAATGTATTGTGAGGGTTTGCTGGAAATGTCTGGCAGAGTGCATGTTGAGATGGAGCTTTAACTCTTAGACTTTCACAACTTTTCTTGTCAATTTGCGTGCAAATTGAGTTTATACAAAATTTCATTTCATTTCATTTTCTACAGCTTTCATGACATTTCCATTTCTTAAAGTGCAGCAGTCATCAAATGTACGCCTAACCCTAAATGTAAGCAGTGAAGGGGAGAAAAATATGGTGCAAAAAATGCATTGATATGGAAGTTCAGAGCTTTGAATATATATGATGCAAATATGCAGTGTTTTGGTTTGGTGTGATCAGAAAGTAATGCAATAATTTCAGTTGTGCTTGAGTAGAGACACATCTAAAACATGTGGTCCCTGAGGACCAAGGTGAAGATACCCTGGTCTATTGGCTTTACACTGGCCATTAAGAAGAGCAGAAGTGGCAAAAAGTGATATGTAAGAGACCATAAGACAGACTGTCAAAGTAAATGATATGAGAATGATATGTAAGATATTGGCTCACCCTCGTGCAATTAAACAATCCTTCCAGCCACTAAATAAGGCAAACATGCCCACTCTTATATTCAATAGCAGCATGGGAATGACATGTGATGTTATGCATAACTTTATATCAGGAAATGAGTGCAGCTCTAACTAAAATGATTATCTTAAAAACTGAATCAGCACAAAATACTTTTTTTTATACCTGCACAAATAAAGTAGCACTGAAAAAAAAAAGGCTAGATAATTTTGTTTAAATTCAGTTTGATGGGGTGATAGTTGACATCTGGATGTCCTGAGAAATAATTTTTTATATCTCTGAAAAAACAGCAGTACATATGATCTTTTAATTATAATTATTTTTGTTATTTGTACAAACCTGCACTAAAGAAGCAATACCACAGTATATTTGCTGAGTTTTTTTTTTTTTTTTTTAAGGTTATTGGATTTTCAGCTTCATCCAGCTAAAACTCCTCCTATTTGATGATGCAGTCCAGGATCTAAACACAGTCCATCTGAAATGCAGAGCAATGAACAACCTGTGGGGCTCAGGGAAATCATTGCGTCCACCACACCTGGTCTGAATGCACCATTAGACTCTATCAGTGAAGTTTATTTAGATTTCCAAAGTATTCAACTGTCATGGTTAGTGTATGTTGTAGACCCAAATGCAGAGTGAAAGGGGCAGAGATGATTTCTTGCTACATTTAATGTAGAAATAAAAATATAAAATCCATATTGCAGAACTAATCAACAACAAACTTAAGAACCAAAAAACCAGGAGCCACTAGGGAGGAATAGAGGAGCCAGCAATGAGTGACTGAACAGGAGGTGTATATATTGGAGACAGAAACAATGGGAGGACTAATTGGCTGATAGGGAGCAGGTGTAGACAGAGTAACTAGAAGGAGCTAAGGGCAAGGAAAGGACACTAGGGGGAAACAGAGAAAAAACAGGGAACAGGATCAAAATAATGAATAAATAACTTAAATAAGCCTAAATGGGAATAAAACTATTGATTACAAAAAAGGTACTATGACCAAGGGAGCAACTAGAGGATAAGAAGTGGGACTGGAGATAACTCATGGAAAACACAACCTAAATATAAGAGAAAGAATAACTATAACTAAAACTACACCAAGGAATAAATAATACCAAAAATTTTGAAAAAAGAGATAACCAGTAAGAGCAAAACTAAGAATACAAAAATGATCTAAATCTAGACAACACAGAACAAAACAAAGTAATCTAGAGCACCCAATAAATGAAAACTCAAACAGAAGCAAAAGGTCCAGGATGTAAGATCATCAACTATTTTTACTATTTTGTGTTTATCATTTTTCTTTTGCACAGGTTCTTCAGGACTTTGCCAGACTGTCAGTTTTAGCAATCTTATATGACTATTTCAGGACACAATATGCAACATGGAATAAACAGACTTTGGTTTGTAGCAAGGTAAAGTTAAAATGCACATTCTACATGCACCATGTACATCTAAAACCTTCACTCTGTAGAGAAGCAGTGAGCAAAAGAAGCTAATTTATTTCCATGTCCCATCCAACTGTCCAGCAAGAAACAATAAAAAAATTCTGAAAAAGTAGAAGATTACTTTGGATGTTGTTGTGGCCTGGGAAAAGAGATAAATTTGGGAGAGTTGAAGGTATGTTATCACCCTCGTAGGTGATATTACAGATACGCTACACCAGCCTGACAGATTACATGGGAAAACAGGTTATAGCCAATTTAACAAAAACAAACTAAATCAAATCTTGAATCATCTGCTCTTTAATCCCACAATTAAATAGGTTAATTAATATTTTAATATTAGACTAAATATATGTTCTCAGATAAATACATTCAATCACAGGTCAATATGCATTTATAAATAAGTTAATAATCAAACTGGACAAAATTTCCTAAATTATCCAGTGCATCAAATTCCAGTCCTGGTGCATAAATAAATAATCAAACAGGAAGAAAAGGCAATTACTTTCCCTACTGTTTAATTATAATATCCAGTCCAAATGAATAGTTTTTTCTAATAATTATGTATTCAGTCAGTTCACAATTGGAGAAGAAGGTTAAAAGTGCTCATCAATTTTTCACTGCATTTTGAAGGTGCACCCGTTTGTCGTGGTTGATGCTCCATGTCACAGTTTGTTTGCTGTGATCTGAGGTGTGCAGTAAAGACTAATAATAAGAATTAATTCAGAATAAAAGTTCTTGCAGTTCTTTGTTCCAGAAGATTAGGCCTGGTGTATGAAATAATTAATGATTTATCCAATATTGTATACCGGTATGTACACAAAATATGTACTCATATTTTTCTTTTGTCATTCAAAACAGCCAATGTGACAACTTTATTAGGCTGCTGGATTCCCAATAGGCTACTTAAAGGGGAACCTCCTTTTTTTTTTTTTTTACATTGGGCCCTTAATTTTACGTTATGACATCATTTTCTACTCACCCATATTAGTTTTGTGTCATTTGATGTTACTTGGATATAAAAAAAACGAATATCTTCAGAACAGCTCCAAATGACACTAAACTCATATGGGTGAGTAGAATATGATGTAATAACGTGAAATCAAGGGCCCAATTAAAAAAAAAAAAAAAAAACGGCGTCCCCCTTTAACATAATCTCCTAATAAATTGACATAAGCTGTTGTTCAAAAGCTTTAACAGTAAAATATAAGCATAAACTGTAAAATGTAATTAATACGTTTTCCCATAGATTCCATTGTTTGAGAGTTTTTTTTTTAGTTTTTTTCCTTTCTTGTGCAGTAGTAATTTACTTGCGGGTGAGTCGTACACACTGGCGCAGGTCTTACATTTGCACAATAGGTTCATTCGGTTTTGATTGAAAATATAAAATAAGAGGGCATTTCTAAAAATGCATTTCGATTAACTGTTAGATACCCTCACATACCTGCCTTAACAATTTTTACAAGCATATACTCTCATTAAAGGGGCAAATGCATTTTTTTAATGGGTCTATTCATGTCTATGTCTGTAGGACATCTGGTGGTCCCTCATTAAAAAGGATGTTTCATTTCCAGATTGTGCACCTCGTGAAATTGATGTCTGAACAGGCCATTTACTCTGTAAATAGACATAATGGCGTGGAGAGTCATACACTGAGAGGTGTATTTTTTTTTTTGTTATTCAGAAACAAAATACTTTCATTGATTTCCATGATTCGTAATGAGTGACCATGCCTTAGCATTCTACTACATCAAACTTACCGATCAATGCTGATTGCACAGAGATTGAGGATGCTTGCTGTACACATCATCACATCAAGGGTGACAAAGATGTCACAGTGGATCTTGCTGAAACGCCACTCTCCAACTACCTGGAGGGGAAAAACACACACCAATTGGTGTTTACAAAATGTAAGCAAATGCCATGCTTTTTAGGTGCACACTGTTTACTGACAGAAATTTTATGTTTGATTTTTCTCTAGGGGCCTAAAAATATTGAAAAAACTTGAAAAAGCTTTTTTTAAACTTTATTTAGCAAAATCTTCTCTTGTGTTAACTCTACCCCGGTAACACAAGTAGTACAAAAAAGGCCCACCATGTAGGTGTTAGAGAAAGAAGTAAAGAAGGTTTAGGAAAATGTTATGACAAGCTAATATGAGGCATAGGCATTTTGTCAATATGTGTACTTTTGCGTTCTCATGTGCTTGCGTATTTGAAAAAGATCACCAGCCTCAGCCATACAGTAGTACTGCTCCAATTCACAAGAACAAAAAAAAAACAGAGAACAAACAAAGGCCCTAGATGTTTTTCTAGCCCCTCCCTCATTAATGAGCATGCATTAGAGTAGACTTGTCCGTTCTCTGGATTGACAACTGCCCCAGCATGCACCGCAGCAGCAGCTTCCAGGGGAATGCTCACAGAGCTTAGAGTATTAGGTTAAAAGTTTTCTGTTGCTGTTGTTCTATGAAGTATGTTTTAAGATCATTTACTTTTAAGCGTCACTATATGGCCCATTTACTGATTCACTACGAAATTCAAAAAAAGTTCTGATTATGAGGGGACCGCGGGAATCAGCAGATCTCCGAGTCTAACGGCAGCCAGGGCTAATGTTTGCCCATCTGCAGCAGCCCTCTCTCTGCATAGTGAAGTACAGCTGGCTCTGATGCCGATTTTTTTATTTTTATTTGCAAAAATGTTAATTTGATTTGTGTTTATCCGACTGTCTTAATTATTATTCCCTGACTAAATGAAAAAAGTAAGAATTATTATAGAAATATTATTATCTAGATGCTATTAATTACAGGAGGGGAAATGCAGCTCCAGACGAGCCGAGCATGTGGTGACGTCACAAGTACGCTTCTGTTCCAATTGACCCATATTTATGCTGAGTGCTCCC